CATCCCTCTCCAACAAGCGCGATCGATCGCACGCGCGCTCTTCCAAGAGGGGCGGACGCGCAAATACAGATGCGGATCAAGGGTCAGCAACAGCCAGACCGCAAGCCTCGCAAGCGGCGCTGGCTTCGGCGTCGGCAAGCACCAACTCTGCTGCGATTCGCAGATCGAGAACTTTGGGAGGATTCGATCCTTTGTTGTCTTTGAGTGGCAATAGCAACAAGTTGAAGTTGCCAGGTGAAGGAGAAGCGGAGGAGTATGTGGGACTCGTCGGCGGAACCGCGTCTGATGAAGTGGGAGCAATTTCGAATCAGTTGCGGAATGACGACGAAGCGAGCGATGCGGATGACGATGAGGAAGATGAAGCGCCCGAAGAGGCTTCGAACGTCAATAGTAGGAAAGCCGTGGAGCAAAGGAGAGCAGCAGAGGAAAAGGAAGAAAAGAGGTGCGTTTTGTGTGTGTAAAACGCTTCCTGAACGTCTTTTTACACGACAAGCAAGTCGGTCGCTCGGCACTTGTACGCCATTCCCATCGTTCTGACTGCAGCACCCTTCCCCTCGCACTCTTAGCCGCAAAGCCGCGAGGAGCAGGGCAGCCAAAGCTCGACAGACGGCCGCATTAGCTTCCAAATCCATTCTCCAAGCTAAAGCTACTCGGGACGGTGCAGCACGATCAGGATCTTCAGAAGAAGAGGAGGAGGAGGACAAAGTCGTATCATCGCTCAGCCCGACTAGTCGATCCACTCGACTAGATCCAAAGTTCTTCGAGAGCGTGTTTGGATCTGCAGCGTCGCTGCAAGGTACTCGATCTGAGATATCGAAAAGACCAACAACAGCTGAAGAGTTGGCAGAGGCGCTGAAGGAGATTCGAGAGGTGCAAAGGGCAAAGAAAGAGAGAAAGAATAGAGAGGGTGGTGTAGTGAGAGGGAGAGATGGAGAAAGCATGAAGAGGTTGCGAGACGGACGGACAGTGGTCAGATCTGCTGCGGCGCCAAGGATAGACGTGCCAGGCTCGGATGAGGATGCAAATCCCGATGGGATGACGAGGCACCATGAAGAGCGAGAAGAGATGCTACTCCCCCAACCCGTGTCTTTTCGAGCAGGCGAGACACGTCCAGCAGCTCGCTCTCGAGCCTTTCTCAAACGATCCCTCAAGCTATATAGCGCAGAACAAGCCGCGCGCAAAGCCGTCAAGGAGAGGGCTCGCAAGACACCCGGAAAGGGCACGGCAACGCCCAAGAAGACGACGGATGATCCTTTGGGAATGGAAGATCCGGCATTCTTGCCCGGTGGAGAATATTACAAGGGCGACAAAAAGTTGACGGGCAAGAGGGGAAAGAGGGGAAGGGCGCCCGTGCCCAAGAAGGACTCGGCGTTCGGTAGAAGTGCATGTGAGTATGCGTGCGCCGCTTGCTTCTAGACTACTGCCATGCTGATTCGAGTCGAGCATTCGTTGATGTGTTTGGGCAGCTTCACACGCGGCATTTGGAAGAACAGCCAATCAAGGACCTGCTCTGCTCTTCTCTGCTTCTGCTTTTTGATGTCTTGAGCCACTCGCTTGCCAATTTCACCCTAGCAATTGCACGGCACCATGCTGTCATACCCGGAGAGCCTGTTTCTACATGAGTAGAGTCGAAAGGGCTGGCGAACACGATGAGATTTGCGCAAAGCTGAGAGCGCAAATGTAGGTGATAGATGCACAGCTCTGTGGCAATATACGAATGGCCTACTGTCGCTGACCGCCCGCCCTCAATGCGAGTGTGCGACGTGCGTCGGGTTCCAACGCTGGCTGATATGAGCAGAGCAGGGTGCGCGCACGTAATGAGCTGGGCCTGAAGCTCGTGGCAAATGCAGGCGGACCTCATCTTGTAGGGATCGCGCGGCCAGTTGGGTCCTGCTTGGAAAAGCTAAACCCTTGCAACTCCACCTCAACAAGGTCCATCGCGACGCTCTCCATGACGATCGCTTGCAAATCGCGCTCGTGTGCGTTTCATGGCTCTTTTTCCCATTCACTGAAAGGGCTGACTGACTGGTGAATGCTCGAGGGTGTGCTAGACCAAGATGGCTGTGCTGACCACTCGATCACCACCACCCGATCAACATCTAGGTGGCGTTTCTTTTCAATGATCTCCTCTTGTAGTAGCATACCTGTCTACAAACTCGCTCATTCCTCCCGCTCCCGCCTCGAACCTCGTCTCATTTGCCGCGCTCCACTCATTTGCAGAAGCCTGGTCATCGTTGGGCTGCTGTCCGACTTGCAATTTTGGCAGATTGGGCGAGTGACCTCTTTGAAGAGCGATGGATCTCTCCAGCTCTGATAGACCATCTCGAAGCTCAGATCGGGCGGAAATGTAGCCTGCTGTGCCTGCAGCAACTGCATGTGTGCGCCGGGGTGATGTGTCGAGTGAGCACCATTTGACAGCTCTCTTCCTCAATGCCACGCGCACAGCCACTCACGCAAAGAATTCGCCAGTATATACTTGGATGGAACGCGCAGAAGTCGTTGACAGAGCAGCCCGGTCACCATGCCCGCAAACAAGGCGCTGATTGCTCCGCGTATCTGAGCGCGCTTGCTGACCAGAGACACTTCCCGCATGGGCAAGGAGGCCGTGCCTGTAGAAGATGGAGCATCAAAAGGCATTGCCGCGTGCCAGCCAGATAATCACAATTCGAGGTGTATTCTGTCGCTGTCGTTTTGGTTCGAGTCAGGAGTCTCTACGAGGGCGGGGTGTTGGGTGGAAGATGAAGTGATGACGCGACGCCGCATACATTCAACGCTCCACACGACGTCGATTCTCGATGTTGATGCTCAGCATTGTCACGTGTCGCAAATTGGCCCTGATCGCTGCACGCTCAGGCCAACGCCAGGAGCGGGCTGCGTGCATGCATCACGCGTGCATCGGTGCGGTGCGACGTGAGAGAAAGCTCTCATCTGAGCACCCAAACGGCTGTGCTCACCTTCATCATGACTCCTTGAGAAGTGCGAGCGAGTCTCGACGCCGAGGCGTGTGCGACGGACTGACGCTTTCCACCATCACCTCCCACGTCAGCGTCCCGCACTGCCCACCATGTCGAGCACGTCCCCCATCGAGATGCAGTCTTACGACTTTCTCTTCAAGGTGAGTACAATGCAGTGCAGTGCTCGACCATTCTCTCTCCACGAGTATGTTTTTGCAGTCGTCGCGTTTTCAATTCTCTGAGGACCTCCTCCCATTCCTGCGCTCGCTTAGATGATCTTGATAGGAGACAGTGGCACTGGAAAGACTTGTTTGCTGCATCACTTTGTGTATGGGGAGTTCAAGGAAGAGTCTCAGCATACCATCGGAGTGGAATTTAGCTCCAAAGTCCTCAGGGTTGGCAAGACGTGCGTCAAGTTGCAGGTGAGTGGCTGCTGCTGCTTGAAAGGGATCGCATACATGGTTCGGGTGCGGAAAGGGATCGCATACATGGTTCGGGTGCTCGGCTCGGTTCATTCGCTACACCGACTCGGAGATGAGATGGCGCGTTTGATGGAGTGCAAGACATTTCGATGCGACATCTGCTCACTGTCAAGCACCCCTTGCCCTATCTCGCACCGCATCATTCAGCTTTGGGACACGGCGGGTCAAGAGCGCTTTCGGTGAGCTTTGTACTCTCTCATTCCGCTCTGCCGTTGCTCACATGCACCGCCGCGCAGATCGGTGACTCGTAGCTACTATCGAGGAGCATGCGCCTGCCTGCTGGTGTACGACATAACCAAGTGAGTCCATCGTGCGCGCATCGCCTTGGAATGGCGTAGCGGTGCTGAAGTCATCGCTGAACACGTCGGTAACACGCTCGATGCAAGACGAGCAACGTTCGAGCCGCTATCGCGCTGGTTGGCGGATGCGCGATCTCTAGCTTCTAGCGATCTCGTTGTTGTGCTTGTGGGGAACAAGCTCGATCGGGCAGAGGATGAGAGGGAAGTCGCGCAAGAGGAAGCGGAGCGATGGGCGCACGATAATGGTGAGTCGCTTTGTCGGAAGAGTGCGAGTGGTCGATCTGAGCCTTGTTCGAGCGAACGATCTCTCTCCCTGCCACAGGCGCGCTCCATCTCGAGACCTCGTCGCTCTCGGGCGAAAATGTCACAACTCCATTCCACTTGGCAGCCAAGAGCATCCTTCTCTCGATCGAATCTGGTAGCATCGATCCCGAAAAGCCTGGTAGCGGCATTTCCTATGGCGACAGGGGCGTCGGAGGAAGCATGAGCATCAGGAGCGGCTTTTCTACCATGGGTTTTGGTAATGGGAGAGGATTCGACAGCCGCTTCGACCTGGGTAGAGAAGGCGGACGCCTCAAAGGCCTCAAGGAGAGGATGAACGGATGCTGCAACACCTGAGCATGAAGCAGTCTCGTGCACGTATCGCGAAATGACAATTCGGCACCAAATACTGGGCGTGTCCCTGAGCTGGTTTGAGCTCATCTTCAAGCATTGCTTTCGCCTAGCCGATGCTGCTCGCGTGTCCAGGCGTGGCGCAGGAGACACGCTAGCTTTGCAACAGTACACGCACACGCGCGCTTCGCAGCATCATCGACTCATCAGACCCACACCTACACGAGCGACTGGCGAGTACAACAATCACGACTTTAACGCCTGTACGATTTATTTCAGACCACACCACAAGTGTAATGTAACGCATGCAAACAAATTTACCCGAGAGGCGCTTCACATCTAGGGTTGCGCGCGGGAAGTGTCGGCCGGCGCCTCAGATGTCGACGACCTCCACGTTTGAGAGATGATCTTCATTTTGACACTTGCGACGGCGCACACTTTCCACCATTATGGTGCACGATGCAGCCCACGAATCACATCCCTTGCCCGTGCTTCGGCGCCAGC